TAATTCTGTGAGAGGTCAAGTATATAAATACTAGAATATAATGTTAAATGTCAGGTTCCTCAGAAACGTTAGGGGACACATGTTGACATTCTGTACAGCAGGTGCAGAACTCCGTACAGGAAAGGCCAACAGAGAGGCACTGGCACTTTCCACTCTCTCCACACTTTGCATCTTTGCAACACAAGTGAGTAATGTCTCTCACTTCTGTAGGTGCTGGGGGTTTTGTAAATAGCACTGGTTGAATGACCCCATCTCTGACAATCCACCCCTTGCCAACAGGACTCCATAACAAGGGTTTGGGTTCGGGCTGTGACACCATATCTCTGTCTGAAACATTGCTCTTTACATGTTGTTGAAATACATCCTCTGTTGGTGGCAGATTTTCCGAGGCTGCATCTGTTGGTGATGCAATTATGAACCTCAGTTCATCCAAGTTTGTGCATCAGTCCAATTTTCCTTTTTCTTTTTTCCGTATAGCAGAAGCGCAAATTGTCTTGTGACTGGCAAAGACTCTTCCAAGCTGGCAGAGAGTCCAAAATGGGCCAGATCTTTGAGCTCGCTGAGATGGTTCTTGAGTTTGGTGAATGCTGTTGTCTTTCCTATTCTGTACAAACTACTTGTTGTGCCACAGCCAGTGAGTGCATGGCATTGCATGGCAAGTGCCAGTGCCTCTCTGTTGGCCTTCCCTGTACGGGGTTCTGCACATGGAACCTGACATTAACATTATATGTGTGTGTGTGTGTGTGTGTGTGTGTGTGTGTGTGTGTGTGTGTGTGTGTGTGTAAAAATTAGTGCTGAAATGAACAATTGTTTTCCTTATAAAAATACCTGACAATTTCCCAAAGCCGAATAAAATTATCTAAACCGCAAAGAAATGTAACAGTCCTATAAGTCATCAGACACAGTTAATATTTGATCCTGTGTTTCCTCAGGGTTTGTGGAGTTCGGCCTCCTGGAGCAGGTGCACCTGCTGGAGTGCTGCTGGCTGGAGGTTCTGATGATGGGGCTGATGTGGAGGTCCGTGGACCATCCAGGGAAACTCATATTCTCCCCCGACCTCAGCCTGAGCAGGTACCCCCCCCCCCTCCCAACACCTCACATATCTACTGCTTCATTAAAGGGACAGTGTGTCATTATTATTTTTGAATATTAGGGCTCTCAATCACTTATAAAGGCACAGCAACAAACAAACAGCTGTTGATGTAGCTTGTTTGATCCAACAAGTATCACACTGAGTAACACTGACCGCCGACCACAGAGGCTAGCTACCTTGATCGCACACTTGACACAGTTAAAATAGTATATTTAATGTTATTGCTTTGGTTAAAACACAAACGGTCCCTTAGGGGCTTTGTGATATAGAAAATGACATTTTCCTTTGCATGTGTTCAACTGAAACCATTCCTTTTTAAAATCGCTCTCATTGCAGGATTTAGCCTCTCTCACATAATAATAAAAACATATTTAATTAGTTAGCGCTTTTACAGGTGCTCAAAGACGCTTTACAGATATAGTGAAAAGAAAAGAAAGGAACAACAAATAAATATATAGTTAAAGTTTAAGTTGTTGGTGTTAGCATAAATATTGGCCTATAAATAAGAAACGGCATGTTAAAGATAATGCCATTAGATCATTTGTCCACTAGAGAGCCGTTGCCATTCAATGTATTTACTTTCTGTAATCCATTCTCTATATAAATGTTTTCATCATTAATCCGTCATTTCCACCCAATTTTATTTTAGAAGAATCTGAAAAATCACTGGAAAATGTGTTTGTATTTCACTCTACTTTCAAAGGATGACTCCTTGTATGGGAAAAGGTCTGCTGGCAGCGACATCATTATCCCTTGTATTGTTTTATCTCAATGATCAACATCCGTATTGGTTTTCAACAGAAAGAACACCGTGTGCTCGGCTCTGACCTTTGGACAGTTTTAAAGCAATGATAGATGATCCGCCCACAGTCTGATCTGAATCATGTTGTTAATGATGAAGGTGTAGTTTCATTTCCTCCTAATTTAGGAGAGAAAACTGACAACTCCACCACAGTGTGTCATTCAGAAACTGCAGCAGCAGCTCTGCCTTCTTATGTGCTCGCATTTAGTTTAAGGGAGATTTCTGTTGGTGCTCAGCCGCTTCTGAAGCTGCTACAAAGTGTCCTGACCTCTCTCACTGCACCACCCCAACGCTTCCTTTGTGGGTTCTTCATCAACACAGCTAACCAGGGAAACGATGCAGTGCATGCTCTGTAGTCCACAGCTCAAAGGAACAAAGTATCTGTCAGTGTAGGATGCAGTAGTTAGGTAATTAACACTAGTAAGAGCTTTAAAACCACAATGTAAACTACTGTTGTACAAGTTAAAGTCTGGCATTAAGACATTTAGAAACATGTTAAAGGAGAGCAAACAGTAAAATATTGAAAGTGCCTGTAATGCAGAATGTTGTTAACAGATAGCTTATTACATTACATGTTAGACGCTTTTATCCAATACTGTGGGCAATCCCCCAGAGGAGCAATTTGGGGCGAAGTGTCTCAGGGACACAACGACATGCTGACTGCAGTGGGGTTTGAACCTGTGACCCCCTGATCCAAACACCAAGGCTCTATCCACTGCGCCACACGCCTCCCCGCTTATACTGTATTGATTCAACATCAAATTCAGATTTAATTGTTGTGTTTTAAAAATGCAACTCATGTTTTGTAAGTAAGATATAATTCTCTAAGGTCACTGGTAACTAATTCAGTAAAAACTCACACTATTTGCTTTTGAAATGTGTTACAATCGAATAAATAGTGCAATAGTGCCAGTACCTTAACATTTTACTCAAATAGCGTCTAGATGTACGAAGCTTCGTTCTATAAATGGAGTCTTCTGCTCTTTCTTCAGCTTCACATTCAATCCTTCAATCACAGATGTGTCACAAAACTAAGTCATCCCAGGATAACTTGGAGTCATGCAGGTTCATCTGTCTAATGTGCCTTTTAATAGTCTAACTAAACAAGTGTCTGTCTGATAAATATCTGTCTGTGTTTGTGTTCGGCAGAGAAGAGGGGAACTGTGTGCAGGGCTTCTCAGAGATCTTTGATATGCTGATAGCTGCCACATCCAGGGTGAGAGAACTCAAGCTGCAGAGGGAGGAGTACGTCTGCCTCAAGGCCATGATCCTCCTCAACTCCAGTAAGTGTGTGTGTGTGTGTGTGTGTGTGTGTGTGTGTGTGTGTGTGTGTGTGTGTGTGTGTGTGTGTGTGTGTGTGTGTGTGTGTGTGTGTGTGTGTGTGTTCTGATATGTGTGTAGGTCAGACAAAGAGATGTGTGTGTGATTTAGTACGTGGATTCACAGCGGAGTGTTTGATCGGTGTCTCAGCATTTAATCTGGTCCGAGCATGAGTGTGCACATGGTTGGCCTGGGGACGGGCTAAATAACTCACCAGTGAAGCCCCTAATGGGAACACTGTGTGTTATTGGAGTGTCTGAGTAACAGGCTGGCAGAGTGAGGGCCGATAGGTTCAGAGTCCTCTCCACTGAGCAGAATCAACGCACAGTAATTAACGTCAGACTCATGTTCCTGTTTCCCTTTTTAATTTCCTCCACTAGCGTTTTATCTCTTTTGCCCATTTGAACATTTACAGTGCTGAAAAAAATTAAATATCTCTGAGAACCAGCGTTTAAGCAATTTAACGGTTGTTAATCCTTTTCAGAGAATATAAAAAACAAAATACTTTCACCAGCTGCACATCATGCTTCACTCTCTGCCACTTGTAGAAACCTCTTACATTCATTGGATTCTTTTCAAAATATAAATATGAAATATAACTAAATGAAGGTGAATTAAAGCCACAAATCATCATAAAGTTGTTGATCAGTTGAAAAACATGCAGAATTCTCCAAAGGGTTGTATTAAATGAAGCATTACCTGTTTATTAAATTAAATATGTCCGCCTCTGTGTGACAGACATGTGCCTGATCTCGTCAGAGGGCAGCGAGGAGCCTCAGAGTCGCTCCAAGCTGCTGCGGCTCCTGGACGCCGTGACGGACGCTCTGGTGTGGGCCATCGCCAAATCAGGCCTCCCATACCGCCAGCAGTACACCCGCCTGGCCCACCTGCTCATGCTGCTGTCACACGTCCGCCATGTCAGGTACAAAGACCCCATGTCAGAATGTCCTGAATGCAGGATTGATGATGTACTTGAGCTAAAATACAGATTTTCTGATAAGGTGTCCTTTTGACCAAATGTGTTTGAGGGATATGCATCTTAAAATATTGCAGTATTAAAATAAACAGACCTTTTCTAAAATCCAAACATTTCAAATACAAAACAATTACTTTTTTCATGATATTTTCGACATGCAATACTATGACTATTCTTAGTTTTCATTAATTGTTATAAAAAATGAGTGGGAACTAATCTCGTAATCAAACCTCACGATGTTCACTTTAATTCTCTCTTCCTTCCCTCTCACCTTGCAGTAACAAAGGCATGGACCACCTCCACTGCATGAAGATGAAGAACATGGTGCCTTTGTACGACCTGCTGCTGGAGATGTTGGACGCCCACATCATGCACAGCTCCCGCCTGCCCTCCCGCCCCCAGCAGGAGCCTGGGGACCTGACAGAGGTTTCTGTTCGGCCCCTGAGCTCCAGCAGCTCCATGTCCAACACCTGGACGCCTGGCAGCACCGGGGGTGGAGGTGAACCACAATGAATTCACCGCTTTGCACATAGTTCACAAGACTGATAATTTTTTTACTGGAACATTCTGTGGAATTCACCGGGGAAACTTTGACACACGCTGCACTTATTGTAGTGAACTCAACTTTGGAGATTTCGGATATTACTCTGCAGACAGCCTGAACTTGCTGTTTCCTTTGCCTTACTAATAATTATTATTATACATTATTCGGTCAGCAGCATTAGTTCTTGCTTACATTTGCAATTCATGCAATATGTTAATACAAAGATTCTCTCGGGCTGAGCAGCTTATTTCACATCAGATCATTTTCATATTCATCGTCCATGTTATTCTGTAGGTCCAACAGAAGAAACATTGTACCAAAAATGACTGAAGAAAACAACCAGGCCAAGAAAAACAGATAGATCAACCGCCTTTTGTAGAAAAGATAGGCTTGAGTCATATGATGATGATACATGAGAACAAAATAGATAATAACTATACCTACAGCTTCTATCAAGGTTGCTGCTATTTATTGTATACCTCTTGATATATATATTGGGTTTACAGTTTGTTATGAACATGTTTAAATACAATGATATGTCAAGTATTTAATTCACAGGAAGACAAACATTCCCATCTAGTCATTTCTATAAAAAGGTTTTTTTGGATTGAGATTAATATAATTTTCCACCTAAAGGAACTGTTTAACATTTTTGATAAATGCATTTTTTAGCTCGCTTGTCAAGAGTTAAGATCGATCCAACTTTCAGAATGAAAACGTAGCTGGAACTGTTTAGTTTAGCTTAGCATAAAGACTAGAAACAGCTAGCTAGCTAGCTAGCTATCAGCAACTCTAAAACTCACTACTTAATATTTAAAATATATCTTTCTTATTGAATCTTTACAAATACAAACAAACAATGGGACACATTTATTATTTGTACAGATTAATAAAATGTTTGTTTTATAGTTGCTGTTAAAAACGTGTTATGCTAAGCTAAATGGCTGCTAGCTGTAGCATAATTAGCATACAATCTTCTCATCTGACTCTTGGCCACAAAAGGCAAACAAGTGTATTGTATTTCCTGAAATGTCAAACTATACCTGTTTTACAAAGTCACATAAACCTTGAGAAAAGACAATATATTTATATTGTTAGCATTTAACAACTATAGCTCCTGTATTTCGACAGGATGCCTGTTGTTCATAGCGGTTGTAGCCAAAGACAAACAGTCGTCTTGTTGAACATTTTAAGTATTTTTTTTTACAATTCAGTATAATAGGATTTACCCATCAAGCTTAGAAAATAGACTGAACCTTTAGTAAAGCCACTAAAAGACATTGAAAAGAAGATTTTGTTTGTAACAAGTAGATCGCCACTAGAGGGCGCTGTACAGCACACTCTGCAGATGACTCAACATGTCCGCGCACAGTCTGGTCATCACAGACTTTCCCCCTCTTGTTTTCTGAGAAGAAGATCACTACTATTGCTCTTAAGACAATTGCACTTCTCAATTTTTGCTTGAAGAGAGTTATTTTTATATTTTAGACCTCTCTGTTGTATACATTGTGAGCACAATCATGATTAAACCACCAGGATCACTGAGTGCGTTATATGTAAATATGTAGACTTTTAAACCTCCTCCCATGAACCTCTGTACTCGTTCAGTCCTGTGTCTTTTCCTCTGGTCACCATACATCACACACTGTATTTTCAATGTGTACATGTACATTGGACGGTAAGTATTTTCTTTACTAAACGAATTCATGATGTGATGATCATTAAAGTGCTGAACGCTATTAAAGCTAGTAAGTGAACCTAAAGATTTTTTTTAAGGAATTTAAACCCTTAGCCTACAAGTGTTCTTACCTCTGAGTAGAATATGTTTTATTCATATACAAATATTCCCATTACCTACAACTTCACATTAAATGTTTTCTTTTAATATTGAACTGTTTCATTTATTGGAAATATTAGCAAAAGGTAAGTTCCCCCCTTTAAACACCTTGGCTTTGCACTGGTGATTAGATTTATTTTGTGTATTTCTTGTTCCGAATTCACTTTTTTTAAGGCCTCTTCACTGACCACAACATCCTCTCTCTTTCAAGAACAAATGTATATCTGTTAATCCTCAATGCCAAAAAAAATACTTCAGACAGAGTTAAGACAATCAGTGTTTACTACCAGAAGATTAGGATGAATCCACCGTTTGATGTTATAAATAAGCATTATATTATCACATTCTGTACATACACATCATCCTGATAAATCTACAGTGTTTCAGCAGTGCTCACAATCTACTCAAATAGCATCTAAAAAAATATACAATTGTGTGTGTGTATAAAACTGCCATCATTTTGTACGGTTGGCTTTATAAAGATAACATTAAAATAGTATTGTGCCTTTTCTTGTAAAAAAACCCCACATTTTTTTTAAAAAGAGTTCAGTCTGGAGGTGTGTGGTGCAGTGGGTTGTGCGTTGGTGTTGGATCAGGGGAGCACAGGTTCAAACCCCACTGCAGTCAGTATGTCGTTGTGTCCCTGAGACGCTTCAACCCAAAGTGCTCCTGTGGGGATTGCGTGACATGTAATATCTGACATAAAAAAAATCAACCATGCTTTTGTTTTAGGGGAACACGAAATGTCAGCAGTTCATAAAATAACATGTAAATGACAGATATTGTACACGTGAAATAAAAATCTTGAAAAGGCCAAGCAGGGACTTGTTTAGTGCAAGTCCACTGATAAGTCTGTGTTTGGAAGCCAGTACAAATATATTATCATTGATTTCCTCCTCTCATTTTTGTCCAATGAACTCAATGGAATATATTTGCTGAAGGATATTTAAACTATCTCACCAGTAACTCATATTTCTATGCTGTTACTGTACGCCCTCTTTGTTGTCTCTGCCACACTATGCGTCTACTGTGTCTCTTCTTAAGAGGAGATGAGGCTGCAGTAGTGTAGAGACATTGCATTATTAAACTAGAATATCCGCATTTTTGTTCAAAGCTGTTGTTTTTCCTGATTTAAAATGCAGTCAAATGCACGGTTTTGTTTATAAAATAAATACAATCTGTTCTAAGATCAAATCTTCAAGAATAGAAACACATTTTAGTTTTAGAAGACTATCACTTCTTTACATTATTTGTACACGTTTGTTCAGGGGTTTCAGTGTGACAGAAAGGAGGCTTGTGTTTCTCAGTTGGTCCTCAGGGTTGTTAGGTGGGGGGGGGACCGTTGGTGTATTTTAACATGGGGTAGAAGGACCGGGCGAAGTTATTGGCGGCGGTGCAGCCGGGCTCGCTCTCCGACCACGGGATGACACAGGGGAGCAGCAGGAGGAAGAGGAAGAGGAGGTGCAGGGGGAAGGCAGCGCGGAGGACTCTGTAGAAGAAGGAGGAGCGGGGGGGAGACAAGTCCCTCCTCTCTCTGCAACATTAAACACAGGAATAAAGGTCAGGACAGAAAAAACACACCAACGATTTAGTGACAAAGACATTCAAATCAAGAGAGACTGCCAACACTAAATGAACTGCAAGTCATCCACAGTTCACAGCATTGACTGAAAACACTGATTAATACCCGTTTACACACCGTGCCCTTTCAATGCTTGGTTTTCTGTAACTTAATTTCTGTTATTTAGTGCAACTAATGGATTGCTGTGATTCACCTTGAGAAGATTTCTTTGTTTGATTCGTCGTTTCCACTGAATTTATACAAGGTGGTTTTATTCCTGGAATCTTTCCTGTTAAGTAAAGCCTTCCTGACCTGCTGTTTCTACTTGTTTGGGCTATTGATAAATGTCTAGTGTTCAAATGTGACATTTAGTTTTTCCTGCATACCTTTTAGGAGAGGAACCTTTCTTTGGATCTGCAGAGGCGCTTTGTCCCTGGACTTCTGATGCAGATCCACAACTCTGAAGAGACAAAGAAATGTTATTGTTTCACAATCTCTCATGACAACATGTCCAAAAACAACGTACAATTTATCTGACATACTATAATATGACTTTAATTTAATGTGACATACAGTACTAAGATATATTCGACATACAATACTCGGGCTTAAAACTGTTATGACAGATACTTGGCTTTTTTAGTGCTACTAGCTTTTAAATATATAAGGTCTATACATTAGTTTGACGTGAGTACGATATTTGTAAGCTCTCACCAGCTGTGGCGGCAGGGTGCTGAGGTCCTGCTCCACCTGCCTCAGCAGCAGCTTCAGTTTGCTCCCCGTCACGTGGAGCTTCTCCTGGGCCTCTCTGCTCTCCTCTTCTTCCTCTTCCTCCGCCCCGTCCTCCGGCTGCAGCTGCGCCCACAGCGCCTGCAGCTCCACCTGCTGCGCCTGCCTGGCCTGCAGCTCCGCCTGCAGAGCCTGCACCACAAACATTACACAGGGTGACGGGGCAGAACAGCAGGAGAATGAATACACAACAAAGCATGGTGGTGTGCTTACTGTGAGTGTGTTGCGGTGTTGTTGCAGCGCTGCCACAGGTGTGTGTGGGTCTCTGATGTCCACTGCGTAGCGCCGGCTCTCTGCGTGGGCCAGCCACAGCAGCAGGGAGTGGAGGCGCTCATGGAACTCCTGCAGGGAGAAGACAGTGACGGAAACATATTAGATGTTCTACTTAAATAATTGTACCAATACTACAGGGAAAAAATACTCAAGTAAACATACAGTATTAGAATCAAAATATACTCAACATACCAAAAGTAAAAGTACTTATGCAGAATGGCTCATTTCAAAATGTTATCTCATTATTGATGCAGTTGTATGTGCATGGCTTTAATGTTGCAGCTGGTCAAGGTGGATCTGTAATTACTTTATATACTGATGGGTAGCTCAATCTAAAAGAAATCTGGATTAATTAGATTTATTTTATTGATTAAAATGTTCAAAGAAACTAAAGCCTAAAGTAGTAATGATGTATTTAGACTCTCTCCTGACCTGGCAGCGCATCAGCGTGCCCCTCAGGCTGCTGTCCCACAGCTGGAGGCTGGAACAGGCTCTGCTCCACCCTCGGTTCATAGCAGCCGCTCTCTGCAGCTCCGGAGCCCGCAGGTTCACTGACAGCATGACGGACTTGTAGCGGGTAAACATCTTCTGCATCTCCTGCGGCAGAACAGACATGAGTATAAGCAACAGCTGAATGCTGATCATCAGATCTGTTGGATTAGGTCTTTCATTTCACCTTTAGTTCTTTGGCTCTGGCTGCCATGTCCTCGATACTGGCTGCTGGGTCGGACTGCTGGAGGCGCTCCAGCTCCGGGGTGACCTTTTCCAACCAGGAAGTGATGTCATCGAGGTCAGATGAGAGATTTTGGGGCTCCTGAGGGTCGGCGTGCAGGTCGCTCCTGGACTGAGCCTGGATCAGCTCCCAGCGCTCAATCACACCTGAGAGCACGGACATTAGTGTTTTTGTTTAAAGATGTATTTATATCATCACCGCTTAGCAACTCATTGCATTAATATCCACTTTAAACTGTTCCTTTAGGCTGAAATCAGAAATTCTAAAACTAAAACTACAGGTGCACAGTGAGCATGGACTCTCCCAGCGTCTCACCTGACTGTTTGTCTGAAGCTGTCAGTCCCGTCAGCCCGAGCTCCTCCGGACTAACAATACTGCAACTATACTGCTATGTTTTGCACCTTAAACGACACAGTGAGCATGGACTCTCCCAGCGTCTCACCTGACTGTTTGTCTGAAGCTGTCAGTCCCGTCAGCCCGAGCTCCTCCGGACGCTCCTCCTCATCCAGGATCAGAGAAACTCTTTTAATGTCCTCGATGCTGCCGCTGCACTGAGACATGAGATGCAGCTGCGTACACACACACACACACACACACACACACACACACACACACACACACACACACACACACACACACACACACACACACACACACACACACACACACACACAAAGCGTTTAGAGCTGGAGCTGCAAACTGTTTGAAGCATCTACTCATAATTCTCAGTTATTGTTTTGTTAACTGGTTTACTGAACGTACATCAGGAGTACGTACTGCGTGAACTCAGAGCGTTCTACCGCCAGGTCTTACTAGAGTCTTTGTGTCAGGACGTCGCCTGAGACTCCCAGTGTGACCGAGAGAAGGGGTGGGAGTGGTCCGTGGGAGC